CTATATCCGTAGTAAATGCGATAAATGACAACTTGATAACTCAACAAGGCTGGTCTGTATTGAGCTTTCCTTGTAGCTTAATGCTTTTAGGTGACATCTAGCCTCTTGAGTTTACAGGAATTTTATGTTACAATTGCCATATATTACATATGTACAAGAATATCCGGCCGCTTATGCGGCCTTGTCATGGAGACATTTCAGATGTCTTTTTAGATGTCGACTTTTCAATACCAACCTTTGATAGTTCTAACCTTTGGCAATGCAATACCACGATAATGGACATTGGAGCTACTTGATTTGAAATGGACGTATGGTGCTGAAAGTCTCGTCAGTAACCATTAAGTGACAATAAAATCCAACGACACGTACATATATAGTTGCTAAGACCCAAGGTTGTAAAACATCGCATTTACTGTGTGTTATGGGGCAGGTGGCTCGCTTGTGTGGCGCGTAGTTAGTTATCTTATCGCCACCGGATAGTTTCTCTTCGATGGACTTCGAGATCTCACGTCTATTGTCAACTCTGCTCCGCTTGTCACTCCCTTTTCCCCTATCTACAGCATATTACTAGGATGGCCAAATGTGCTGCCTCATCGAGACTGGCCTTGTCTGCCGTTCTGCGCCATGTTTTCGGCTCTCAGTTCACGGGTAACTTGGGCGCTTCTTCAATAATCCCCTATCGCCGACCTCTCGCCTCCGGTCCTCTTTTCTCTTCGAATACCCAACTGCAAAGATCCTTCAGTTCATTGCCGCGCTTGAGTGATTCCCAGAATGAACCAGAGCCCGCAGCCCCTGGAACCCCGACCGTCGCCGATGACACTATGTCTTCTCAACAGAAAACACCGAAAAAGAAAAATTACGACTCATCCGGCGAGAAAGGTGGATGGAGTGCCCATAAACGTCAGTCCAAGGACCAGCGAGCGAACCCAGAAAATAGCACCGGAAGAACCGACAGAGAGCGCAGAGCTTTCCGCAACGAGACTCGCAGGGAGGCCAAAAAGGAACCTCGCAAGTGGCAAGATAGGGCTGAAAAAGCGAAACGGTTCTCAGAGAACAAAGGAAACAGAAAGCCTGAGAACTGGCAAGTGCAAAAAGCGGCTTTAAAGGAGAAGTTCGCCGGTGGTTGGAACCCACCCAAGAAGCTATCCCCTGATGCCCTCGATGGAATCCGTCATCTTCATGCGAAGGCCCCCGAACAATTTACGACCGCTGTCCTCGCAGAGGAGTTTGAGGTGTCCCCAGAAGCTATTCGCCGAATCTTGAAGAGCAAATGGCGCCCATCGGAGGACGAGATGGAGAGTCGGCGCAAACGATGGGAGAACCGACACGATAGAATCTGGAGTCGTATGGCTGAGCTTGGTCTTCGCCCTTCGACCAACCGCACGCGGACCCTTTCAGACTTCCATGTGCTGTATGATGACAACAATCGCGAGCGAAGATAGTCGTCTGTACTCCGTACATTATAGTTAAGTTAGATATGGTTTCGATTTGCGCCTGTACAATAAATAATATCAGCTGTGATTTTTCCCTGTCTTAATCCTGGGAATAAACAACTACTTACTATGGTATAGTAGTTGGTTGAAGTAGGGTGGGTATGTCATTTAGCCCGTAGTTCGGGGTGGAGCTAGGAGCAAGGATATCATCGCCACGCAACTCCCTCGGCAACACACCTTCAACTCCACAACCAGCATGGTTCATTCGGGTTGACAGAATGCTAGTGTCGGCACATTACCAAGCTTCGACCTAACTACAGCTCATCGTGCCGGCAATTCCCTCCAGGCCTTGGTCCCCCTCGAACTGCATCCCACATGCTGACACAACCGCCATGCCATCTAACATCCAAGTCTTTGTGAAGTGGAAGGACCAAACTATATTTGCAGGAGAGGATGTGGAATGCACTATAACATTCAAGAACGTGGCCGATACTGGCGCCGATGCCAATAATGCGAGTGAAGGAGTTCAACATTCACGGAAGGTCTCGAGAGTCGCGAACCACACACCTAACTCGAACTCGGAGTCTTTCTTCGGATTCAAATCACACCAAGCTCTCTTCTCTGGTCGCCGATCATATTCCATTAGCTCCCAACGGAAGCCTTATCACCGGGCGGCCTCGTCCCTGAGCTCTCCGCTCGGCTCCCATAGCTTTCCTCCGAACAACGGCCCCTCTACACCACGAGCATGGCAACCAGGCCACAACCACAAACGTTCCGTCTCTATCCTCTCAATTGATAGCGAAGGCCAAACCGATCCGATCCCTTCTCCGCACCATTACAATCGACACCAGCCAGCCAGGGGTCATGGGCGCTCGGCGAGTCTCCAGGTTCTACCGCGAAGGAACAATAGCTGCGAGGATTCTTACAAAAAAGGTAGATGATGGACAGTGGAGTGCTTAGCGGATCTTCAGCTAATGACCGTCTCTTCTCAGGAAGATCCCCCTCTCAGGCCTTTCCATTTCCATTGACAGAGGCTCCGAGCGAGCATCCCAACGGCAGCCTGAGAGTTGATACCTCCCACTTGGGGCGAGGCGGCCGCCCTGGCTCTCTAGCGACTAGTCCGGTGGGCCCAGTAGAGCCATTGCGTGCACCTTCACGACGGCCCCAACCACCTCCCCTCGATTTTAAGTTTCCGGCCACGCCTTCGACCGATTCAGCTAACAATCGCACCGTGCGCACTCCGTCACCGAAGTCGGCGACAACGAACGGTACATCATCTACCGGAGGAAGACCCACTGTCAGAGACGCACAGGGTCTGACTGGACCGGCGCACCAGCAACTAACCCGGATTATCTCAGCCACAAGCGTGAACGGGAGCAGCCGGAGCAGTGGGGAGTTCTACTCCGTCAGCGACCACTCCACTGAGACCCTCGGATCAGAATACACAAATTACTCGGTACAGAATGCGAGAGCGCCCCCTCCCATGCGGCATGCGCGACATCATTCGAGCGTAGTTACATCTCCCTCCAAAGCCTCTAACAGCCAGGCGCTGCTGATGGGCTATGCGCAGATTAACGCATCATTCACGGTCGATGGATCATTAGTGAATCAGTCAGCCTTCGACGAAGTCAAGCGAAAGGGAGTTGTTGGTGGCCAACCGGGTTCAGGCGGACTTCCTGGCCGGCCAACGCCAACAGCGGAGCGACCACGTAAAACTGGTGGGTTCTGGGGCGCACTCAAATGGAACACTATTGAGGAATCCATCAATGGTCTCCTTTCAAATAACGAATTAGATGGGCTACGAGAAATGCGCGGTGTTACGTCGTCGAGATCAATTCCGCTGTTGTCCACCTCGCAGTCCCTGCTTTTTGTTGACCTCCGACTGGCACCAGGAGAGGAAGAGTCATATTCCTTCTCATTCTCCCTTCCAAAGGGACTGCCGGCGAGTCATAAAGGAAAAGCAATCAAGATCTCATATAATCTGGTCATTGGAACTCAGCGACCTAGCGGGCCTAACGAGCCCCAGAAGGTCAACCGCATCAATATACCCTTCCGCGTTTTCAGCGGCGTGAATGGTAAGTTACATTCTTCACTTTGCTTTCATCCCAAATTCTCACGTCTTGTTAGAAAAGGGAGATATTCTTGGGCATGACTTGATGTCACCTTATGTACTTCTACGGGATGAAGCGAAGGTGCAGAAAGTCGGGCCAGTGATGCCTGTGACAACGAAGAACCAAAGTATCAGCAGATCTCACCATTCCGCGGCCGACTTCCTTGGCTATGTGGAGGAAATTTTGGAGCAACGTGCGCGTTCCAACACGTTGTTCCCACCTGGTGCTACGCCCTCGAGACGAGCTAGCGTCGAAGGATTACCCCAGATGCTTACTTCGAAGGATGTCATCGACTTTGCTATCCTTCGCAGCAACCAGGCCGTGAACTCTCGCCGCAGCCCCAATCGCTTTGAGATTGCCCGCGAAGGTAAACGTATCGCAGTAGTCGTTTTGAACCGACCAGTTCATCGACTTGGAGAGACTATTATTGCCACTATGGATTTTGGAGATGCTACAATACCATGTTACGCTGTACGTGCCTCGCTAGAGACGTCCGAAAAAGTCACCCCTACGTTGGCCATCCGGTCAAATGCTAGCATTCACCGAACCACTCGACGCATCCATGCTTCTCTGTTCGAGAACACACTCCACGCCACCAGAGTAGCTTTCAGCCCTGCTATCCCCATCACAGCCACGCCTTCAATCTTGACGAGCGGTGTGACTCTCGACTGGGAACTACGATTCGAGTTTGTGACATCCAGTGTTCGAGGCGAGCAAGGGTCCCCGCCCTCGGGCACTCGTTTACTTGAGGCCTTGTCATCGGATGATCGCGGCATTGTGCTCTCTGCTATGGAGCATTTGAACTGTGAATCATTCGAGATCGCTATCCCGCTGACTGTTTACGGAGAGACTGTTCGAGAACGACTGCCCGAGGAGAATGAAGGCTATCCAATCTAGATGTACACGTGATGTACACATGTGCTTGTCTGCTGCGCAGGTTATGTTCGATTTGATTTCGTTTCCTAAATATTCCCCTTGTGCCGTCGAGTGAGAGACTCTCAATATAAGCCCCACTGGGTTCTGCATCCCCATGTATAATTGACATCAAAATTGAATTGGAAAATAATTAATAGTACCAGTAATTAGTTACTACCTACATACATATGTATGTATAAAAATATATTCTTCTGTGTCGCCGTGACGTAGATGCGGTAACTAGGGCAACGCGGTCAGTCGACGGATCGGATCTCACTTTATCAACTTTGGGGCTGAAACCCGATAACATCACTCTTCTTGCGCGTTTCTCTCAAATATATCATCCAGAATCATTGTTAGGTACGTCTCATTGGCATTGTCTACACGTCAGAATGTCGGCACATCAGCACATGTGATGGCATTCCTCAAATCTTGGACAGCAACTGGTATCTGACATTGGAATGTAGGCACATCGCGATTAGCGCAAACCCCGCCGAAACACCCCTGCCGAAAGGGATTACTTTTTTTCTCGAGAGAGAATATGGCTTCGTTCATCACCACCATGTCTGTCCCCGCTACCCCTCCCGCTGCTCATTTCCCTTCCCCTGAGGAGCCTGCCTCTCGCTCCCCGCAATCCCACCTCCCTTCCGTTATCAGCCCTTCCGCTCTGTATCAGACTACTCGCACTTCCCATATCCCCTTCTCGGACCCTCCATCTTACCTGTCTCCAGCGGTGCGCGCACTCAAACAGGGCTGCTTTGGACTAACACCTCCCAGCAATGCACGGACACGTGCCCCCTTCAAGCCTCGTTCGGCCGCCAAGGGCACGAGCAGTTATCAGCTTCGACAGTTCGCCGAAGCCACACTTGGAAGTGGTAGTTTGCGCAAGGCCGTGAAGCTACCCGAGGGCGAAGATCAGAATGAATGGCTCGCCGTCAACAGTAAGACGCATCTTGTGAAGTTGTGCTGAGTGCATCTGCTAATGTTTTGGCGATCTAGTTGTCGACTTCTACAACCAGATCAACCTTCTCTACGGCTCAATAACTGAGTTCTGCTCACCGCAGACGTGTCCCGAGATGAAGGCTACAGATGAGTATGGTACTCCTTCTGCAGGTTGTTAACCCCCGGCTTACAAGTTCGGATAGGTTCGAGTACCTCTGGCAAGACTCGGAGAATTTCAAGCGGCCAACCAAGATGTGTGCCCCGGAATACATTGAACACTTGATGGCCTGGGTTCAGAGCAATGTCGACAACGAGCAAATGTTCCCTAGCCGGATCGGTATGTTTTTAGGAGTCATTCGTTACATAGTAGATCTATTGCTTACTCGTATTTCTTTTCCAGGTGTCCCATTCCCCAAGACCTTTCCCAGTCTTCTCCGCCAGATCTTTAAACGTCTATACCGTGTCTACGCCCATATCTACTGTCACCATTACCCAGTGGTAGTGCACCTCGGCCTTGAGCCTCACCTCAACACCAGCTTCAAGCATTATGTCTTGTTCATTGACGAGCACAAGCTGGCCAGTGGGAAGGATTTCTGGGGACCGCTGGGTGATTTGGTGGATAGTATGTTACGCAGTGACTAAGGATTGAATCGGGAAGTTAGGTAGTAATTGTGTTTTGTATCTGATCTCCGCAGTCAGGGATACTGGCTGGTCTACGGAAAGGATATCTTAACGGCGTTTCCGGCGCGGTGCATGCATTGCAGTATTTTAGCTTGGACTTTCTGGCGTTTGGGGCTTGACCTGACGCGAAGACCGAAACGATGAATCCATGGATATTTCTTTACTTCTGAGTTTTGTATAAGAGGGCATTTCTATGATTATTTTGCGGGATATAGTAGCCTATTTAGGCAGCGATCTAGACTAGATTTTGTACTTCCATTCTCCTGCAACGAACAAGAGATACTTCAAGAGCTCAAGCCAACCAACAACATATGAACCATACAATGGCCTAGACCGTCACTGGATTGGCCCCTAATCGCATGTTTCTGTGTTGGTTGATCCCAACACTCAAGCGGATCTTTAGAGTCATAGAAACCGGATTTGGATAACTAATACAAGCCACCTGAGCACGCCAATGGTGGCACTAATGTTTTGCCAGATTCGCCTAATGATATTGCAGGGTGCGGTAATACTCACCTGTGGATATGAGATAGAATCAACAACACCACCAGCAACGTAGAAGTCTTGCAAATCCTTTACTCCAAATAACTGCAAAGATGTCGAAGACCGAAGCTGCCAAGTAATTATACATACACGTGACTTAGTCCTTGTGTGCGCACGTGATCACGGGAACATTCGGCCCGGAGGTCTCAACCTTGCATCCTTGAAGCAAGCACTCCGGACGTCGATATCATCTCCCCATCCAAACCCTCTGTGTCTCCCCTCCCTCCTCGAGGCCGCTCCTCCAACCAATTGCACAATGATGTCCGCTCGCTTCGCCCGCGCTGGCCTGCGTGCCACCCAGTTCTCCGTTCCTCGCACCGCCGCCGTTAACGGCGTCAGGTCCTATGCCACCCCGGCCCAGGAGACCCGCCCTCCCGTCGCCCTGTTCGGCGTTGATGGCACCTACGCCTCTGCTCTGGTACGCACCTCCATTGCTCCGGTCTTGTCGCGACCGCATGTTCGACTTTTGGCGACGAACACCCGTCTTTGCCCGACCCATCCCACACACTCTTGAAAAGCAATCTTCAAATCCTCATCACGAAGTTATAACCCATACTCTGAATGAATCACCCCTCTAACCATACTCGTGAATAGTACACCGCTTCCGCCAAGTCCGCTGCTCTCGACCAGACTGCCCGTGCTATCTCTACCCTCGGCGAGACCCTCAAGGCTGACAAGAAGCTCGTCGCCATCCTCGGCGCTCCCATGCTCACCAACGCCGACAAGAAGTCTATCGTCGATGAGCTTGCTAAGGTTGCCGGTGCCGATAAGGCCGGTATCCTTCAGAACTTCCTCGAGACTCTCGCCGAGAACAACCGTCTCGGTTCCCTCGAGGGTGTCTGCGAGAAGTTCGCTACCCTGATGGGCGCTCACCGCGGCGAGATCGACCTCAACATCACCAGTGCTCAGGTAAGCACCAAATGAGCTGAATTTCGGTCTCACAAAAAAAAAAGTAAATAAAGGATATAAGCTAAAACTTCGTCCGCAGGAGCTCGATGCCAAGACCATCTCCCGTCTTGAGAAGGCTGTTTCCAAGTCTCAGTTCAGCCAGGGCAAGAAGCTCAAGGTTGTTGCCAAGGTGCGTTGTACTGGATGAAATTGTGGCTATTTACTAACTGTTAATCAGGTCAACCCCGACCTCGTTGGTGGACTCGTCGTTGAGATTGGCGACCGCACCGTTGACCTTAGCGTTTCTTCCAAGATCGCCAAGATGAACAAGGCTCTTTCCGATGCTTTGTAAATGTAAATTAGCCTCAGCGTTTGAGGGGATGGTTAGATTATAGCATATCGTCCCGGATGAACGGTAGCGTTCGTAGGAGAAAGGGGGGATTCTAAGATTCCCTTTTCTACCTCCATTTTGTTTTGTTCTCATTGTGAATTGCACAAATTCATCCATGATTGGTGTCTTATAGATCGTTACTTGCCTGAGCCCTACAAGGTACGATGGACACTTTGGTCTAGCTGGTTGATAACAGTGTATTTCTTATCCCTCAATCCGCTCGCCTTGGTGTCTGCCGTGCCTTTCATATCGCGTGAACCTGACCTGCAGTTCCGATCGGCCAATCCGTGCGATGACTTTTTGTTTATATCTGACTTACCTAGGCGCGTAGTGATACGCCTAGGTATGGGCGAGCAGGTCCGTAGGTCCCTTCATCTTGAGAGGCTAATGAATAGTATCGACGTTTACTTCGTTATCAAATACACTATAAATCAAGACTATATATGTATAGATGTACCCCGAAAATATGAAGAGGTTGGAAACGATAGATAGCCGGAGATGCAACACGTATAAAAAAGGAAGGATAAAAGAAACGGGCCAGTAACCACAGACAAGGAGATCTTTATTATCATTTCCAGAAGCAACAAAGAGGAAAATGACCAGGAGGGAAGAAAAAGGAGAAAGAGATGAAGGCACGTCACCAAGCGGAAGACGAACGGAATGGAAAAGATGCACATGTGGACAACATCCAGAGCAGATTAAGACTGTGCATTCTGCTCATTCTCCTTTTCAGCCCTCGTCTCAAACTCGTCCTCATACGCAGCAATCGAAGCCGAGCTGCGCACCCGCTGCAGCTGACTCTCCACATAGTGGTCAACATGATCCTGGTTTTCAGGGTCCGGAGTGCTACCCCTACGACTGCCCGCATGACTAAGACCATGATTCTCATCGTCATCATCCAAGACCGTTGACGGAGCGGGCGTAGCATCGCCAGAGTAGAAGTCACTACGGTTACCGATGGAACGTGTAGTCGACGAGCGACGGATAGACGGACGGTCCGAGCCGCGCGGTCGTCCAGAACGGGAGAAGATGTCGTCGAAGTAGTGCGATGCGGCGGCGAAGGGCGATCGCGGTGTCTGTGGTAGACGGCAGTTGATTCCGGTGTCGTGGATGATCTTTGCGATTAGTCCTGTCCATCCGCACTGGTGCGATGTTCCCAGCCCGCGCCCGCTGTCCCCGTCGAAGAACTCGTGGAACCAGAGGTTGTCTTTCCAGTGCTCGTCGAAATCGAGGAGGTCTGAGCCGGCGTTTACGGCACGGCGGCCTTCGTCATTGCGAGCGAAGAGGTGCTGCATGCGGTGCTGCAGTTCTTCTGCTACGTGTCCGAGGTGCATGTAGTCCCCTGAGCCCTTAGGACACTCGACTTGTAGGGTGTCGCCGTAGAACATGTGGAAGCGGAGGAGGGACTCGACGAGGAGGAAGTTGACGCAGAGCCAGATGGGTCCACGCCAGTTGCTGTTGCCGCCGAAGAGAGAAGAGTCGGAGTCGCCGGGGACATAGCCAACTTTAAAGGTTTGACCGTTGACTTCCATGGAGTAGGGGTTGTCTTGGTGGAACTTAGACATGGAGCGGATACCGTGCTCGGATAGGAACTCTGTTTCGTCGAGCATTCGCTCGAGGATCTTGACGAGGCGGTCTTTGCTGACGAGGGCTAGTAGGAGTCGGTCATCTTTGCCGCGGCGCTTCATGCTGGCGATGTTGCGCTCCGCTATGTCTGGCTTGTTCTCGATGAACCAGTCTACACGTCGCTTGAACGATGGGAATTTCTTGATGAGCTCGGGCTCTAGGGTGAGAACCGCATACAGCGGGATCAAACCGACCAGGGACCTAATGGGTAGTTGCTGGGTCCATGGTCCGCCGTAGGAGATGGCATCATAGTAGAAGTTATCTTCTTCATTCCAAAGTGACTGCACAGTGTCATCGCCCGAACGGAAGGTCATTGCATCACTGATGAGCAGGAAGTGCTCGAAGAACTTGGATGCAATGTCTTCGTATATGCGACGGTGTTTGGCCAGCTCCAGGGCTATATTGAGCATGGTCAGAGAGTAAAAGGCCATCCAACCAGTGCTGTCTGCTTGCTCAAGCACACCGCCAGTGGGCAATGGCTCTGAGCGATTAAACAGACCGATGTTATCGAGTCCCAAAAAGCCGCCCTCAAACACATTCTTGTCACCGGAATCCTTGCGATTTACCCACCAGGTAAAGTTAAGCAGGAGCTTTTGGAATACACGTTCCAGGAAGTCCAAATCCTGTCGTCCATACATCTTCCGCTCGATCTTGAACGTGCGGAACACAGCCCATGCGTGCACGGGAGGGTTCACGTCGCTGAAGTTCCACTCGTACGCAGGCAGCTGACCGTTCGGGTGCATGTACCACTCACGGGTGAGGAGGTCGAGTTGCTTCTTTGCGAAATCTGGGTCCATCATAGCCAGTGGAATACAGTGGAATGCAGTGTCCCACGCAGCGAAGAATGGGTACTCCCAAGAGTCTGGCATCGATAAGATGTCGTCGATGTACAGATGCCGCCACTGCTCATTACGAATGCCTTTTCGGCCTGGGGGAGGAGCAATTTCAGCGGGGTCGCCGTTGCTCCATTGATCCCAGATGAAGTTGTAGTACTGCTTACACCACATCATCCCGGAGAAGGCTTGACGCTGGATGTTGCGGAGATCATCGCTCATGGGGAGAGGGTTGAGGTGGTAGTAGAAGTCATCCGCCTCAGCGCGGCGCTGTTCAATCACATCGTCGAGAACTTCTTCGTCGACGAATTCTTCCTTCTTACGAGACACTCTAAAACGGACAACGGCGCATTCGCCGGGAGGGACTCCCTCGCCGTTGTTGAAGGCGTACCAGGCAGCGAACTTTGTACCTTCGTTATCTGGGTTGATAACGCCCTTCTCCTCTTCGACGATATGGCGGTGGAATGCGTCTTTGACGTAGGGTGTGTCATTCTCGGTACCCCATAGCAACTTGTTGTTACTCTCGTTCTCGGTGAACATCATCTGAGGCTGGATATCGTCATCACTAGATCCAACTGGAGGCGATGGCGCAAAGGAGACATATCGCTCGCCGATTGTGCTGTGCTCCGATTTGGCCACCATCGGTCCCTCTTTTCTAATAGATGGTCTTTCCTTTTTCTTCTCGTCACCCCAGGACCACGTGTTTCGGAACCAGACATGAGGGACAATATGTAGATGAGCAGGCTCTGGGCCACGGTTGTAGGCAATGACACGGAAGAGCAATTCTTCCTCGTCGTCGGCCTCCTTAGCAGTCTCGATAAAGATATCCCAGTAGCGGTTATCTTCAAAGATGCCAGTATCAAGGATCTGATACTCTTTCTCCAAGCGCGAGCGCTTTGCGTTCTCATCGATAAGATCTTGATACGGGAACTTTCTTTGGGGGTATTTATAGAGGAATTTCATGTAGGAATGCTATACTTCGGGGTCAGCATTGTTGGAGGTGAACTGGATTGGATTTATAGATAATTTTACCGTCGGGGTGTTGTCCACATGGAAATGTGCCTCCTTGACACTCTCACCATGGTTACCCTGAGGGTTCGACAAACCGAACAGACGTTCCTTCAGGAAGTCACTGTACTCCAGTCAGATTCTAGACCGAACCCACACCACAGCGTTCAAACAGAGTCTCGACCTACTCTTCACCATTCCAAAACGCAAATGCAATGTTCTGTATGCCGTGTGTGTCAGATACACCGGCAATTCCATCTTCGCCCCAGCGGAAAGTCCTCGATCTAGCGTGATCGTGGGTGAAGTAGCTCCAGGCGTCACCATCTTCGCTGTAATCCTCTCTGACTATACAATGAGAAAGCGGCCATTAGCCTGCTGTTTCTCAATTGATATTATGATTTGCAAGCTCTCACCTGTGGCCCACTGCCTCTCTGCCTATGCCAATCCAAGAGCTTTTAGCACTGCCAATATGTATATTTCAGAGCTACCCGAGACGTCGACTTACCACATATGGTCCCCAGCGCTGTTTTCAGTTAGCAGGAACTCCTTGCTGGTAAAGGAGAGATCTTACCTTCCAATACTTGGTTCTCTCGCGGTCTTCCCTTAGGCGCCTCTCTTCCTCCGTGATGACTTCTTTCCCATCGATTAAAACCATAATGATGATTGCGCACAAGAAACCAAGTTAATACGCAAAAACGAAAGGTATATGGAAATGGAGAGGGGAAAAGAGAAGGTCAAAATGGAGGGGAATCTTGTTCATGCAGTCCGTGCCAACCTGCCCTGGAGAATGACGTGAATCACTTGTCCCACGGGTCCACAGTAAGTTCGGGTGGAGAATCAGGTCAGATTGGCGAATGAAAGCCTCTAATTGGCTGATAGGAAAGTGTTCGGTTCGGGCCTGGAAGGTGCACAGGTCATGGACCTTGTTTTGCAAATACTAGCTTCAAAAATATCAATTGACCTTGTATTCAATGTTAGCTGTAGAATACATACATGTATGTATATTTGTTTCTGATGTTGGTCCTTTATGACATATCAGCTACCTAAGAAAGTGAAAAAAACAGTCCAAAGCGGCAATTAAAGAGAAGTAAGTCCATTCACACATTATTATTGTTTGATCAGAGCTTCTGTCTCGTTTCTGGTGATTATCCAGAGTGGTGGTGCCCAAAGATCGGCTTCTACCCGATTATTCTCGTGTTGAGAATCGGTATCAGGAAGGAATGCATTCTTATCATGTGCGCCGTTTTGTACGGAGGAGTAGCGCCGGAGCTGGGATATCCATGAACGCAGCTCTGTGTGGCGGTGGCGACATTTAGCGGCGCAACAAGTCCACAATAAGCGCCTACATAGTGTTGAAGTCTAGAAGGGAAACCACGTAAAAAGAAACCCAGAAGCTTCAGAAGTACATACATGTAATAGTTAGACATTCCAAGGTTATGATCAGATGAAATTGAATATCCCCAGGTCCTCTGGTTTCTGCCAGGGAAACAGGGACAATGACGGAATCGAGTGGATATTTGGGCGTTGGATTTCTGACCGCGGGTCTCTGATCGCACATAGTAAGCCCATTAGCAATTCGTCTGCTTATCGTCTGGCTCGGACCTGAAGATGACCATTCCCGAACTATATCCCGAGTTA